TTAAAAATATTGTATTTACTTTAGAAAAGTAGTCCATCATCTTTCAGGAAAATTTAGAAGAGTAGAAAGATGGGGTGGGAGGAAATCACCTGTAGCCCCACCAGTCAAACAAAACAATGAATATTTTGCTGTATTTCCTTTAGCTATTCATCACACTCATCCTGCATTTACAAATTAACCTAGGTGAAATCTTTAAAAAGAAGCCCTACTCCTAACCTGTGTGATCAAGAATTCTGCTTTGGTGTGGAAGAAAAAGAGATTCTGTAGAAAGTAACCTCACAGGGTAATATGAGCATAAATTTCCAACTGGGCAGATCATGGTGGGCAGTCACATCTCCGGCATATAACTTCTTTAATAAAAGGCTTATTGTAACTTTATAATAAACAAGCCCCATCCATTGTTTCTGTGCATCTAGGTTAACATACCTTTAAAATGCCCCCTTTTAGACTCCTCCTTTTAAAGTGTGAGAGCACATAATCTTAACTAGTTTGTAATCCAATCCTGCCCTTGCTTTCTCCCACCTTCATTCGGTCTTCCTTAATTTCAAATGCATAAAAGAAACTGCGAACCTGTTACTCTAGGGAGCATTTGAGATCTTGCTCCCTGACAGTTTGTTCCTCGTCAGTTTGGCCCAAGCTCTAATAAAAAATAATAATAATTAAAAAAAAAAAATCTGCTTTGAACAACAACAACAAAAACCTGGTAGTTTAATTTGTCTCTGGCCTCAGGGCTGATGCAACAACTACCCTCCCTCAATGCGGGGGACCTTGGGCTTGAGTCTGAAGGTTAGACAAGGGTGGAAAAGGGAGACCTGCAAGTGGCAACCCGGATGTGGACAAGTTTGGGCCCCAGCAGGTGGGAACTCCAGGAGAGCCCACCAAACTTGGGCCCCACGTACTCACACCAGACCTGGGCCAGGGGATGGCCAGACATTGGGGTTCCCTTTCTCCTGTTCCCGCCTACCCCATTTAGATCCAATTAATTTTGGTGAATAATATGAATTCATTTTTCAGGATTTTTCCTTTTTTCATATGGATATCTAATTGCTTCATCTGTTCCCCCACCATATTGCAGTGTCACCTTAGTCATAAATTAAGTGACCTCATATGACTGGGTCTATTTCTGGATTCTCTCTTCTGTTCCATTGGTCTAGTCATCAATCTCTGTGCCAGTTCCACAGTATGCTAATTATTGTAGCTTTATAATAAACCTTGATATCTAGTAGTGTAATCCCCCAACTTTGTTCTTCAGGATTGTCTTGGCTATTCCTGGTTCTTTATGTTTCTCTGTATATTTTAGAATCAATTTGTCAATTCTGACCAAAAGAAATATGCTGGGACCTTGAGAATGAAATAAATCTTTAGGTTAATTGGAAATAATTGACATCTTTACACTATTGAGTCTTCCGATTTATGAATATTCTTTACTATCTGTAATCGTTTTATACTTTTCATAGTACAAAACTTTGATTAGATCTATACCTAAGTACTTGATATTTTTAATGGAAAATGGTAAATGATATCTGAGGGGTTTTTTTCCCTGATAACGCTTCTGACGTCAAATGAGAGGGTTTTTTTGTTTGTTTGTTCGTTTGTTTTTTTAACTTCCTGATACCATTTCTTCAACTCAGACACCAACTGGGTGTTCAATAATTCAATTCAATTCTGACACTGACTACCTGAAGTTAGCACAGACGCCATAGTCTCAGTCTCACAAGCCATCTCTACTTCAGATTCTAGTTACAAGTCCCTGTTCACCTGTGTTTCTGACCAACTGGCTATAAATCAAGGATTTCCATGACTCCCTCCTCACGTTTGGTAATTCGTTAGAATGGCTCATGGAACTCAGGAAGACACTTTACTTACTGTTACCAGTGCATTAGAAAGGATACAACTCAGGAACAGCCAGATGGAAGTGATGCATAGATGGAAGAGATGTGGCCAAGAACATGGAGATTCCATGCCATCTCCAGACACCTCTCCCTCCCAGCATCTTGATGTATTCACCAACTCAAAGTCTCCTCGAATACTGTCATTTAGGGCATTTATAGAGGCTTCATCAAATAGGCATGGTTGATTAGATCATTGGCCATTGTGATTGACGTGATCTATGGCCCTTCTCCCCTTCCCAGTAACGGCAGGTGAGGGTGCTGAAAGTTCAAACATTCTTGCCACTCTGGGGATTCCAAGAGTTTTAGGAGCTGTGTGCCAGGAACGAGGGACAAAGACCAAACTTCTATTTCCCACTGTACTACAGAATCTTTTTTAAAAATTCACTTTGTATTTGTGGCTGGTATGTAGAACTACAACTGACATTTTTATATTGACCTTGAATTGGAGACCTTCTAAATTCACTTATATAATCCCAATAGTTTGTATGTAGATTTTTCTGGATTTTCTATGTACACAATTATATTATCCCAGGCAGTGTTGGCTTCACCACGTTTTGGAAGAATCCTGGCAGCCTTCCTATAGGTGTGGATTCCCACTAGCTAAGTGACTGACTCTGACTTCTAAATCTCTGCTTGTACCACCCCCAAAGCCTGAGCTCATTCATGGCTTCGGCCAGCTCCCACCCTTACCACCACAACCCAGACCCTAGGACTCCATGCCACCTGTCCTTTCTCCTCAGGCCTTCTCTGCTGCCTCTGGGAAGAACTTGTTCTGGAATCATTGTTGGGGTCCTACAGAAGGAGGGTCCTAGAGTCATTCAGACAATGTGCTAAAGACGCTGTCCCCATGCATTTTTGCCACAAGAGCTGGGCCCTTGGGAGGGGCAGGGGAGTTAGAGAGAGGGATCTTCTGGGGACGGGAGAGAGAAGTATTAGCCAGCTCTTCTTTAATTCTAGAGTGTGTCCCTTCACCTCCAGAGGAGTTCACAGAGGAGGGGAGCAGGATGAAACCGTCAGCTAAGCTAAGCGTGAGATAGAGGCTCTGTCTCAGAGACTGTGAGGAAAGACTGTGGGATGAAGACTCCTCTATTGCCAAAGGCTGAAAGGGAGGAGGTCAAGTTTTATCAAACCATCCAGAGTCTACATAGTGGAGAGGTTTCGAGGGCCTGAGGTCCCAGAAGTCAGGCCTGGTCCCTTGACAAGTGAATCTGAGAGGTCAGAGTTCAGCATCACTCCTAGACAAGTATCTGCTCATATTCGCACAACGGTAGGGCCCTGAGCTTAGAAACAGGGATACAGAGAGGTAACACAGCAAGAGAAACAGCCCCCATTTACTGGAAATTTCACTTAATACTCTTCAAACCCTGTGAAATACCTTTTATCAACCCCATTTTATGTAGATAAAGAATACCGAGGCTCAAACTGTTTAGGTAACTTGTTCAAAGTCTCCCCAAATAAGTAGGAGACTCCCTACAACTCACCTGCAACTCAACAGGCATATGTCATTCTAAAGTGCTTGGTCCTTGGTGGTCCTGCACAGGGGCTTTGCCTATAGGGGCTGTTTGGTGGACTCCTAAACCTTCATGTCCCAAAAAGCAGTTGACAATCCAAAATATATGAAATGGATTCAAACTGATTCATGCTTGGTTCATTCTAGTGGGGAAGCTGTGGCTCTTTGAGCCCATGGCCTTTCTGGGTGGATACCAGCTGCCTCCCAGATGTGACCTACTCCAGAACCTGCTAAAGTGACCAGGAAAATGCCATTTCCAGAGCAGGAGTCAAAAGAACACCCCAGTATCCAAAGATATTGCAGATCTATGCATAGATGAATTATGCAAGCATTCAAGAAACAAACATGTTTGTTTCTTGAAACCTAGAAGTGACCATTCCAGGTGACATAAGAACCCATTGTGTGTAGTTCACCATAATAAAGAAAAATTAAAAACAACAACAACAACCTATTGAGCTGCTTTGAGCCACTTCAGACGCAAAAGCATTCAAGTGGGCACCAGCCACCCTGACTTCCATCCCACGTGGTTCCAGCCAGGTACTCCCTAAAGGTGAGGCTAGAGCAACACTTGAGAAGAATTACTTTACCTCCTGGGTTTCCAGTCTCCCTCTCTCAAATCCACACACCACAGTCACTCTGAGATGTTGAGGGAGCTCACCTGGGCCTTAGGCAAACCACACATCAGCAAGGAGGGGGAGGGAGGTTTGACTGCAAGTGATGTTTTGTACAGGGTTCTGAGACTTGAGACAAAGCAGCCCAAGGGGATGGGAGCTCTCTCTTCCCTGAAGAGCTGTAGCCCTGAGATAGCTGTCCCTCGGGGCTTTCCAGAATTAGGGCTGAGCACCTGGTGACCATGAGGGCCCTCTGGGGGTTCCTGGTTCTATGATAAATGGTCCCAGACTGGGTAACATGTCTGTGACTCGGTGGGTTGGCTTTTTATGAATGTTTTCTATCATATTAACAGATTTTCTGTTGTTGACCCATCCTGGGACAAACCCGAGTTGATTGTGATAAAACAAACAAACAAACAAAAAACAAGTAAAAACTTTAACGTACTATTAGATTCAACGTGCTAGTTTTATTTAGGATTTTCACATTTATGTTCAAAAGTGAGACTGGTTCAAATTTCCCTTTTCTTGTACTATTATCTGGTTAGAGAATCAAGGTCATACTTCCTTCATAAAATGCGTTTGCTGTCTCTCCTCCCTCTTTCCTCCATTTTTAATTCTTTGAGAGTGGAATAATATTTGTAATGGGCTTTGGATCTTATAAGTACACATCCCCCAGAGTCTGCCTGCTCAGCAGGGGACTTGGTACAGACAAGAAGACACATAACTCTGTTCCTTGTTTATAGTCCGTGTTGGCTTATATATGGTGCTTTTGTTGTTTCTGGGATTTCTCTGCTGGGAGCTAGGCATTTCCTTGAGGAAGTAGGCATGAGAGGTGAAGGGAAATCCTGGGCTCAGGACAGGAGAGCTGTGCTGAGGGGAGGGAGCCCAGAGCCTGGTGCCCCTGCACCCACCACAGCCACCTGTGCTGCCTGGGCCAGGCTCCTGCAAAGCCCCCAGCTGGAGCTCAGCCTGACTCTCCCCATGCAGGCACCATGTTCCGTAAGAAAAAGAAGAAACGCCCCGAGATCTCAGCCCCACAGAACTTCCAGCACCGTGTGCACACCTCCTTTGACCCTAAAGAAGGCAAGTTCGTGGGCCTCCCCCCACAATGGCAGAACATCCTGGACACACTTCGGCGGCCCAAGCCTGTGGTGGACCCTTCACGCATCACACGGGTGCAGCTCCAGCCCATGAAGGTAAGGTGGGCAGCGGGAATGGCATGGCCAAGTTCAGCCTCTTGCACTTCTTGGTGCCTGGCCAGACCACAAAGGCGCCTGGAGGAACCACCTAATCACCAGCTATCAATTAGCTGCTGTTTTCACTCCCTGCTAATCAGCCTCTCATTTCTCCCTGGGTGACCCAGGGAGGAGGAGCCTGGGGAGTCCCTCTCTGCAGCGCTGTAGGGTTGCCAGATTTAGCAAATAAAAATACAGGATGCCCAATAACATTTGAATTGCAGATAGCAACAAATAATCTTTTGGTATTAAGTGTGCCCATGCAACTTTTGGACCTGCAGCCCCTGTATGCCTGCAGGGTTTAGTTGTATGAGTTGAGAAGGGTGGGTCCAACGGCCTGGTAGGGGAGGAGGTCAGGGCCCTGTGAGGGACTGGAGGCCACAAAAGCAGTGCGTGTGGAGGAGAGCCCTGGACTGGTCTCTGCCTCCTCAGAGAGCTCTATGCATCTCCCAGAAGGCCACAGACAGAGCTGAAGAATGGCAGCGGGCCCCAGGTGGGGTCTGGAGGCCCCCTCCCGCACCTCCTCATTTCTCCAAATTCAGCTGCCCACACCATTTGGCATGCTGGATTATTACCCCGTGGTTACTCACCTGTGTGCCTGGCTGGGCTTCAAGCCTCATGAAAATGGGCCTTTTCCCTGTATTCCCACACCAGCACAGGCCTGACCTGCCATGGGCCCTGGTAAATGACTGAAAAATTAAGGAATGGATAGATAACACTACAAGCAAGGTCCTTATGTGTTCCTCCCTAAGGCACCCCTGGGAAGGCCCTCTGACCTGGTCCCACGCCACCCCTCCATGAACAGGCCACTCATTCATGCTCTTCTCCCCTCCCCTGCAGACAGTGGTGAGGGGCAGCTCTGTGCCCATAGATGGCTACATCTCGGGGCTGCTCAATGACATCCAGAAGTTGTCCGTCATCAGCTCCAACACCTTGCGTGGCCGAAGCCCCACCAGCCGGCGACGGGCACAGTCGCTGGGGCTGCTGGGGGAAGAGCACTGGGCCGCAGACCCGGACATGTACCTGCAGAGCCCCCAGTCTGAGCACACTGACCCCCAAGGCCTCTACCTCAGCTGCAACGGGGGCGCACCAGGAGGCCACAGGCAGATGCCATGGCCGGAGCCTCATAGCCCACGGATCCTGCCCAATGGGCTGGCCACCAAGGCACAGTCCCTGGGCCCTGCAGAGTTCCAGGGTGCCACACAGCGCTACCTGAAGCTGGGCACCTGCCTGCAGAGTTCCCCACCCAGCACCTCGCCCCCCGCAGCCACTGGGAGGCGTGGGACCAAGGCAGCCAGGCATGGATCTGAGGAGGCCCGGCCACAGTCCTGCCTGGTGGGCTCAGCTGCAGGCAAGCCAAGCGGGGAAGGCAGCCCCAGCCCTAAGACCCAGGAGAGCAGCCTTAAGCGCAGGCTGTTCCGAAGCATGTTCCTGTCTACCCCTGCCACGGCCCCTCCCAGCAGCAGCAAGCAGGGCCCTCCACCACAGAGCAAGGTAGGTCAAGGGGATACCCCCTGGGGCACTCTCAGAAGGGCAGGAAGCTGGCCTGGCAGGTGTCCGCTGAGGAGTGCTTGTCAGGGACACAGGCCCTGCCTGGGCTTCCCCACTTAAAGGGTCAGGGTGGGAACAGCATGAGAGAACAAAATAATCAAGAAACCAGCTCAGCCTCGGCTGAGGATTCTACTCTGAACCAACTGAGCCCTTGTGCTCCAAAGGTTTAGCATGTGTCAGAGGTTGCAAGCCAGGTCATTTTCTGGGGGGCCTCTGAGAGGCTTATTCTAAACTCACCTGCCCTCTGGGATGTGTCTGGGTGAACCACACCGGTCGGCAGACACCCCTCTGAAAAAGGAGCATCTTTAAACACAAGCCCAGACCTTCCTCTGTCCCTGGTGCCCAGCAACCCTCGCCCAGACCCCAACAGAGATAGGTGCTCCAGCCCTGAGCAGGACAGGGGCTTTCCCTGCTTTCCTCTTCCCAGACCTTTCTGCCTCCACCCCTCGCTTGCCCTGGTGCTCTCCTGAGGTCGTGCAGAGGCTTCCTGGGCTGCTTCTCCCTGAGGCATTCAGCAATGTTCCCTCTTCTAATGAGGATTCTTTTCTGCCCGGCTGCCTGCCTTCCCTTTTTTTTTTAGTGATGATTGTTTTGTTTAACATTTCTGTAATGATTTAGTCTCGAGTTTGTGTGTCATATGGAAAGCTAGAGCATTGCATTTGCCTGGGTCCGGAAGCAGCAGGAGAGCTGACTCTCGGCCTGTGGGACAGTCTCAAATGCATATATTTTTCTTACAAAAAAGGAAACAGTGAAAAGAGCCCTAATGGTGACGTTTCTTGGCAGTCAGAGAATGATTTTGCTTCTTACATGCCCTATGACACCCTGTCCGTAGTGATAATAACATCCTTTCCCATTTGGTAGATGAGAAGACTGACCCAGAGAGGGTGACAGAGCCCCCAGGGGTCTTAAATGAGTCAGAGAAGGAAGGCATGAGAGGGCCTCTCAGCTCTCGTCTCTTACTCAAGAAGGCTTTGCTATCTTGGCAGCCACTTTTCTCTAGCTCCTTCCTGAGGTACAGGCAGAAATGAGCTTAGGTGGGAGCACGAGGCCTATAAGTCAGACCTAAGAAATAACTGCTGACAGTGGCTCTAGTGATGGAACCTCCCCTCCTTGGAAGAGGACAAGCCTGTATCCTCCTGTCAGTGGTGGCTCAAGTCTGGTCCAGTCTGAACCTGGGTGGGGAGTTTGAGGAGCAGCCTAGACCCTTAATCTTTCCCAGTTACTGCCAGCCTGAGGCACTCAGGGAAGGAGCTGGGTTTTGGCACTCCAGCCCCACACTAGGACAAGGACAGTGGGCTTAGATCCCCCATGGGATGGGGATCTGGGAAACAGATGAGATGTGGCTTGATGTATCTATCCATGTGAGGAACGTGTCTGTGAGCTGAGGTGTTTCTGGAAGGCTGTGCCCCTGAGGAGACATCCTCCAGGAAAACCAAGGTGGGAGCAGCGCAGAGCTCACTGTCAGGGAAGTGAGAACAAGAACTGATCACTCTCTGCCTCTTGGGAGTTCTGTGGGGGTACTTAGCCCCTGGGATGTACTGCTTCTAAGTGGAAACATTTCTAAATTCCCCAAACCAGCAGCCAGCCCTCTGCACCAGGGATTGGGAGAAAGAACGCGTCAGTGCTGATAACTGATCACTCTCTGCCTCTTGGGAGTTCTGTGGAGGTACTTCAGGGATTGGGAGAAAGAACGCGTCAGTGCTGGGCTGGGCACGGACGTGAAGGTTTCTAGGCTCCTGCCAGCACTCCACAGCAGGGCACAGGCCATCCACCCAGCCTCGGTTGGCCTGTCCATGCTGCACATTTTACCGGTTATCTACCAAGGGCCTCTGCTGCTGTGTGTGCAGGGCAAGGCCCTGCTCCTGTGGGGGCAGGTAGGGGCAGATGGTGGTCGCCTTGGGCTTAGAGACGCCACAGTTCCAAATCCAGGGGAGTGCTTTCCTTCTCAGCACTTTGGGCATATGTTTCTTGATAAATACTCTAAGCCGGGCCTCTAAAGGCAAGGCTGAGCTGCTCTGGACCAGGGCTTCTCAACCCTGCACTGTTGACATTTGGATCCTTTGTCGTAGGGGCTGTGCTGTGCATTGTAGGATATTTAGTAGCATCTCTGGCCTCTATCCACTAGATGCTAGTAGCACGCCACTGGAATATCTGAATCCCTCCAGATATTACCAAATGTCCTTTGGAAGGCAGAGTCACCCCCAGTTGCGAACCACAGCTTTAGGCAAATTACAACACAGATGGGAAGCATCCAGCTTGTTCCTCCTCCCTCCCAGGAACTCCCAGATCAAACCAGCAGCCAGCCCTCTGCACCTCAGTGCATCCCAGGGGCTAACCATGGACACTCACAGCAGCTCCCAAGCAGCAGTCGTGCACTGATGCCCTGGGAGGTCAGGTTGCCAATGGCCTAGTGTGCCAGGCGTGGATACAGGAGGGTCTGTGGCCCTAGGGCTCTTGTACTCAGTCCCGGAAGCTTGGCCTGTGGTCACTCACATTGGCTAGAAGGCAAAAGAAGATCTCAAGTCGGGGCAGGGAGGCCAGTGAGGTAAGAGGGTTACATGTTTGGGGAATTTAGAAATGGTTCCACTTAGAAGCAGAAGGGCCAAGTCAGCAGATCTCAAAAATCAACAAACACTGGTTAAGTCCCTACTGTGTACCACGTACTTTATTATATGCCAAGGCTACGTGACACCACTAGGACTATAGCATAGGGGTCAGGGTTCAAGCTGACCAGGGCTGAAGTTTGGCCTTGCCCTTTACAACTTACTGACTTTGGGTAAGTTATTTGACCTCTCTGAGCCTGTTTTCTCATCCACAGATGTGATAACAATAGTTCCCATGGGATAAATAAAATAACCCACAGGGTTATGAGATAATGCATTCAAGGCCCTTGTCAAAGTGGTAAGCCCTCAATAAATGGCTTTATTATTATCATTTTTAATATTATGACATGGCCTCTGCCTTTGAGGAACTTAGGGTATAAGTGCCCCAAGCCCATAGCTGGAGAGCCTGGCTCTGCCAGCCATGGCCCAGGAAGGGAAATGAGGCATCATTATAACTCAGCGTATGACTCTTCTAGTGGCTTCCTGCCCAAGAAGAGGTCTCAGTCACACAAGTAACTCCAGAATTAATTCAGAGCCCATAACAATTCATTAATTCCACCTTTTGTTTCCCCTTTTCCTTTCTTGGTGTGGTTTAGCAAGTTTCATCTGGTCCTTTTCTGTGGTTACATCAAGTTAAAGCTTCCTCCTTGTGGAGGTAGGCAGCAGGGCCAGTGAAGGGACACCTGGGACCCACGCCTGCTGAGGTGAAGACCAAGCCTGGCCCCAGCCTCCCATGCCCTGTGTCCCAGGCCACGTCAGTGCTGTGCTCTCAACTCTGCTGGCAGGGGCGCCTGTGCACATGTGTGACCCTAGGCAAGGCCAGGGACTGCGATGGGGGTGGGAGCCCTAAAGCCTGGGCAGGGGCTACTGAAGAGATTGAAAAGACTCTGGCTGACCCTGGTGGGCCTGAGGCCCAGACTTGGGGTCCCCAAGCCGTCAGCCCAGCCCAAGCTGACTGTTTAAGGAGATTTGCTGGAAGTCCATTCAGCTCTGGGAATCAGGACCAGGAGCCAGTGGGCCCCTAGACAACCACTTTGTGGTGGGTTTTGAGAAGTTCTGAGAAGGCCTCCCAGCAGCCCCTGAAGTGTCCCCTGTTAGGTTATGTAGGACCCTTTCCAGGTGCCTCTTTTAAAAACACATAATCCTGGGCGGAGTCATGTTGCACATTGCCAGCTGCTTGGGGAGAACCCCAAGGATGGGATCATTTCCTGGCAGGGCTGGCCATAGGGCTTGGGCTCAGAAAGGCAAGGAGCCTCGAAGGCTTCCAGGGTGGGACCTGCAGGGCTCCCTGGGGGCCCAGTCTGCCACCCAGCTCCACCTTCCCTCCCTCCCCTTAAGGACAGGCCCTGCCTTCCCTTCCTTGTGGGGGTCGTCAGTCAGGAGTTTCATGTTTGGGAGCAAGCAGAGGTTTTCCTCTGGGGAACCCTTAGAAAACCTCCCCAGGATCCACGGCCCCAACACTTGGTTTGACTGGACCCGCCCTTCTGATCTCAGATCTCTCTGGCACCAGAGCCTCAGCGCAAGGGGAACCTCAGAACCCCAGGATGGAAACATGCCTCTGTGGTCCCCCTTCCGTCTGCATGGGCCCTTGGGTGGGGGAGCCATGGGGGCAAGTGCCCCTGACCCAGATTCCCCAAGCAGCCCCGCAGCAAAGGGAGGGCTGCGTCCCGGTGGTCTCTCTGGGGTCTGGCTGTCAATTACCCACGAAGAAATACCCAACACAAGGACACCCCAGGGACTCTGCTTTCTCTGTCTTCCCAGGAGCAGGCAGAGTGGATGTAGAGAGCTTTCATTTGGTCTGCTCTCCTGGGAACAGTGGGGGCTGATTTCCTAAGCAGGACAATGATTTGGCTTCAGTTCCATTTCAAAATCTTTGCTCATGGCACCTCCCCAGTTTGGTCTGATGCCCTGACCTGCCCGTGTCCAGAGGTCATGGCAGCCACCCGCTGCCTCTGGGCAGGCTGCTCCAAACACTCCCACTGCCAAACCCCCTTCTGTTTTTTTCTCTGTGCAGCCCAACTCCTCATTCCAACCACCACAGAAAGACTCCCCTCCAAGTCTGGTGGCCAAGGCACAGTCCTTGCCCTCAGCCCAGCCCATGGGCACCTTCAGCCCTCTGACCACCTTGGATACCAGCAGCCCCCAGAAGTCCCTCCGCACAGCCCCAGCCACTGGCCCTCCTCCAGGCCGGTCTTCCCCGGCGGGCTCTCCCCGCACCCGGCACGCCCAGATCAGTACCAGCAACCTGTACCTGCCCCAGGACCCTGCAGTGGCCAAGGGTGCCCTAGCTGGTGAGGACACAGGCGTCGTGACGCATGAGCAGTTCAAGGCTGCACTCAGGATGGTGGTGGACCAGGGTGACCCCCGGCTGCTGCTGGACAGCTACGTGAAGATTGGCGAGGGCTCCACAGGCATTGTCTGCCTGGCACGGGAGAAGCATTCTGGCCGCCAAGTGGCTGTCAAGATGATGGACCTCAGGAAGCAGCAGCGCAGGGAGCTGCTCTTTAATGAGGTGGGAGGAGAGGGCAGACATGGGTGGGCATTTGGGATGGGCAGCAGGGACTGCCCAGCACTCAGGCATCTCCGCCTGCCTCCAGGTGGTGATAATGCGGGACTACCAGCACCTCAACGTGGTGGAGATGTACAAGAGCTACCTGGTGGGCGAGGAGCTGTGGGTGCTTATGGAGTTCCTGCAGGGTGGGGCCCTCACGGACATCATCTCCCAAGTCAGGTAGGCAGCTGGAGCGCTGGGCCCCGAGTGCTGGCTGCACCTGCCATTGCCCTGGCAAGGGTATCAGGCAGCCTCGGGCCCAGCAGACTTGGGGGGCGGGGGCGGCTATCAGATTGTCTTGAGTACCCCCTGTCTGTTTGGATTAAGAGACCCAGGGGTCTCAAGGGAGTGGGAGGCAGGTGGTTGTCAGCCTAGGCTTAGGCCCTTTCCCACCAGGGCTCTGTCCTGACTGTACTCCCCTACACATTGCCCAGAAGCCGTGGGGCCAGGTAGCAGGATACCTACTTTCCCAGCCCATCTGCCCTGCAGCTCAGCCACAGCTAATATTCTCTTCCTCCGGTGACCCCACCTTCCTGTCCAGGCTGAACGAGGAGCAGATCGCCACTGTGTGTGAGGCTGTGTTGCAGGCCCTGGCTTACCTGCATGCCCAGGGTGTCATCCACCGGGACATCAAGAGTGACTCCATCCTGCTGACCCTCGATGGCAGGGTAGAGCCTTTCCCACCCTGACACACCCATGCCCCCACTCCCCTGCTCCCAGCATGGCTCCTCCTCCTAGTTCACCATTCACTCCACTTTGTCCCTCTCACCCCAACCCCAGGTGAAACTCTCGGATTTTGGATTCTGTGCTCAGATCAGCAAAGACGTCCCTAAGAGGAAGTCCCTGGTGGGAACTCCCTACTGGATGGCTCCTGAAGTGATCTCTAGGTCTCTGTATGCAACCGAGGTAACCGTTCTCTCCATCCCCGAGTCCTCCTAGGCGAGGCTTGGGAACACATGACTCTTCCACTTTTGACCCTCTCCAGAGGCCCCCTCCCACCAAAAATAGCCCCAGTTCTCAGGTGTTCACTTAGTCTATATCCTACCCCACTGCTCACTGTCGCTTCTTAGATGGGTCTACTCTTGCCTATGACTTTATGCCACAAATTGGTCCCTAAAATGCACCCCCCCCAGCTCAAGAGCAGGGTGGGATATGGCTAGGCTTCCCCACGTGTGATGGCCTTTCTCAGAGAGTGGCTGACAGCAGTGTCTCTAGTCAATGGTCACTCAGGTAGGAAGTAACAGCACAGGGTAGGTGACCAGGAAAGCCAACTTACCAAGGACAACTGAGACCAACTGCTCCCCTCCCCCTGCAGCACGCTGCTACCAAGAGGCCAGTGGAGTCAGGGGCATTCTCCTCCTGCAGGTGGATATCTGGTCTCTAGGCATCATGGTGATTGAGATGGTGGACGGGGAGCCACCCTACTTCAGCGACTCCCCAGTGCAAGCCATGAAGAGGCTCCGGGACAGCCCCCCACCCAAGCTGAAAAATTCTCACAAGGTCAGTCGGTGTACAAGGTGTGACAACACGGACCCCATTTTTCCTGAGGCTCAGAGGACCAGAGCCTGGGCTCCCAGACCCAGTTGCTCCCTTTCACAGAAGCCAGAGGGTCTGGGCTCCTCGAAAAGGCTCCTCTTTCTCCACACAAAACCTGTACCTGGGTGTGGAGCCACGTCTACGTACAACTCCCAGTGTCGCTCCGACAAGTTTCCACCTGCAAGTGATTGACGAGAGCACAAGAGAAGTGAAAGCAAGACTGCCAAGAATCTGATGTTCTGGGGTGGAATCTAGAGAAGCTAACTGAGCAGGAACTTCTCCACCCCATCTGTCAGCTACACCATGGCACGGTGTTCTCCGTCTATCACTGTGTTTGGCTTGTCCTCCATCAATGCATATCCTGACCACATTTGAGCTGGTTTCCCCCCTTAAAACGTGTGTGTGTGTGTGTGTGTGTGTGTGTGTGTGTGTGTGTGTGTGTGTGTGTGTAACCTTTTCTGCCAAACCCAAACCAGCAGGCCTTACCTGTGGATACCCCCAGGTCAGCAGAGGGTTGCAAAACAGCACTGCCATCTGCTGGCAAGAGTGAGAAATGTCCCAGAGGGTTGAAGCCCAGTCCCTAAGTGGCAAAATAGTTTTGTGGCCCCAACACATGGGGATGGGAAGACAGACAGAAAACATCTTCAGAGACAATTAGTCCTTGGAGACACTGTGGACCCCAAGATTTTCATATAGGGGAGATTTTCAATTGACTAATTCTCCAGAGGATGTAGCCTTCTGTAACAGCCAAAGAGTCAGCCTCATCCTAAGATATTGGTTCAAAATGAACCAAGATAAGCCCTTGACTTAGACTCTGAAGCTTACAGCAATAAAATCTTCTTATTTTCAGGTCCTACCTTGTTCTTTTGTATTTTAAAAAACACTTCTTCACCCCTGACCTCTTTTTTGTCTCCACTAAAGCCCCATGAGGCAGACAGGGCAAGCACATCTTATCATTCGCCCATTTCACAGATGAGAAAACTGAGGTCTAGAGAAAATTGCAACTTTGCCAAGATCAGGTATAGACCCAAGACTGGATCACTGATACAAATCTCATGCCCCTTCACACAGAGCTGCAGAGCCTAAACGCTGAGAGCTCAGAGAAGCGGGGTGTAGAATGGGCTGTATTAGAAGCTCAGCTCCCCAATGCTCAGGAACACCCCTTAGAGATGAACTGGCCACTTTCCCTGGACTGATGCTGACCTTCTTTACCTACCTACCTGATAATCCAAGGGACGAATGAGGGAGGAACCAGGAAGTAAGAAAAGAGAGAATTTAAGACTTTCAAATGATGGTGGGACCAGGCAGATGTATCACCCCAAAGTGACTACAAACTGTGGCTTCATCTCACTGCCCTGTCTCCACAGGTCTCCCCAGTGCTGCGAGACTTCCTGGAACGGATGTTGGTGCGAGACCCCCAGGAGAGAGCCACGGCCCAAGAGCTCCTGGACCATCCCTTCCTGCTGCAGACAGGGCTACCCGAGTGCCTGGTGCCCCTGATCCAGCTCTACCGCAAGCAGACCTCCACCTGCTGAGCCTATCCCTAGAGCGAGCCTGTCACCTGTGCCCACAGGCAGGGGACACTGGGCAACCAGCTTGTTGGCAGGGACTGCCTGCCTCATTTTCTCAGTATTCTCTCCAAAGATTGAATGTGAAGCCCCACCTCTGCCCTCCTGCCCCTCAGCCCACTGGGCCAGGCCGGACCTGCCCCTCAGAATCTCTCCCCTCCAAGAGAGTCCCCAGTTGCCTTTGGGATGATGGAGACCCCTTCTTCAGAATGACCCTTTGTTATTTGCACAGGGATATTTCCAAGAAACACCGAGACCAGCACTTCCGGCCACTGTGGCCAACACAGCAGAAAAGGCTGCTGTGGTTTTTTAAAGGCAGTTGTACACTAGCATCTCAGGCCACCCAAGAGTGCAGAATGCCTGTCTTCACCAGGATACTTCCTGTTCTCAGCTCCACCAAACCCTGGGGTCTCAAGAGGGCCATAGAGAAGGTTTTTATTGCCTGAATCCATCTTCTTCTTTTGTGTCTGACTTCCTGAAGGCACGGTCCCACTTGCACCTGCTTCCTGACCCACCTGCACTGATGACACGCAACACTCTCATGCACAGCCTGCTCATAAGCCATGGAAGGCCACGGGAGGAGGAGGGGCATTTTTTGAGTGAAAGAAAAATAATTGGGTTGGTGGCAAAGGTGGTGTCACTTTATAGGAGGCACATGCTCGTGTGAGTGTGTGTGTGTGTGTGTGTGTGCGCGCGTGTGTGTGTGTAAATGGAGGAAGGTCACCCCGACAGCCTGGCCCCTTCAGTAAGGCTTCCCCATCCTCTCTCCCACTAAGTTCTGCTCTGAAGAGACCTGCTTTCTTGGCCTGGATTCCCACCTTTTAAGTCTCATGATGCTACCTGACCAGCGAAGAGGTCTGTATTGAGTCTGATGCATCCTGCGGACTGGGCAGGTCCCAAGTTTCTCCTGTATTGTGTGGTCTGAGAGTCCGAGACCATAAGGGGGAGGAAACAAACTTTGTTTTACTTGTGAGCTTCATCTCAATAACCAGGTCATCAGGGACCCTTTCTTTTCAAAATCCTGGTCTGGGGGAGGTAAACCAGCTCCAGGGGTTCCATCATGTCAAAAGAATGGGCACCCCATTTGTGCAAACCTTCTGCCCCTAGCAGCTTCCTCAGACACCTGTTTCCTTGTCCTCCTTCCTTCCCTGCCTTCAGGGCTGTTATGACACAAGGAAGCCCAGGGAAGAACTCTAGGTGTCTGGACCCCATGTAGATCATATTTTTAGATTCCTCTACTCCCTAGTGGCCTGCTTTAGGGCAAAACAAAACGGAACAAAAAACTGCAAGGACTTTTTTTTTAAGGGTCAGAGTTTTAAAAACAAAAGCACCTTCCCTAGAAACTTTTGTGAATTGTTTGCACTTGTGCCTGTTTTAAATTAAACTGAGTGTTCAAAACCTCTGGACTTCCTATTGTTTCTAGGAGTGAAGGCAGGGTGTCTGGTGCAGCCCCTCCTCCTCCTCAGCATGAGCTCTCAGTGGCCACTCTAGTCCACCAACTCCCTGGTGGTGTGTGGGCCGAAAATGAGAGCAGAGAAGGAGGGAAACAGGAAGCGAAAGGCCCTTGGGACTGAAAGAGCTGAGAAATAGACAGGGTTCCTTTCCAGGGGAGAAGAACCCAGCCAGGAAAGCCAGGGCCATGCGTTTTGCTTGCTGGCGCCAAATGGGCTCTGGGGGCAGCCACCTGGGCTGATGGCCACTTTCTGCAGCAGCTTCTGCCTTCTTCTGTTCACTTCTCACTCCCTAGAAAGTCAGAAACTGCTCTCCTCGAGCTGTCCATAGGAAGGGTCCTGGAACTGAGGGAGACAGGAGTTGTGCAAGAGCAGTGCAGTGGCTGGAAATCAAGAAACCTGGGTTCTAGTCCTGGGGGTGGGGAGGTGGATGAAATTATCTTTAAACTTTTAGCTGTGACACTGATCCCATTACTTCCTTCCTGAGAGCTCATTCTACCGCCTAACCCAGGGCTCACTGAAACCTTTTAATGAGAAGCAAGGAGTCATAGCAGACCTTCTGCTCCCCAAAGCATTCACACCTAGACAGCTGCCCTTGTCCGAGGGCCCCAGTCCCACTAGCTCAGTCAGAAACAGCACCTGAGTCTTACCTTCTGGATGGGCAGAGATGGAAGCTGAAGGAAAGTGGAACCTTTGCAGGAAGCAAGTGCACCTTTCCACCTCTCCAAAGAGATCCCGGAGTCAGGAGTGGTTGATAAGGCAAAGAGAGGCCAGTTCTTGTAACTGAACAATACTGAATTTATTAACTATTCTTTTGCATTCTAATAGTCCTTCCACCACACAGTGTCATTCCAAAAGCGTATGCATATGTCAGTCAGCCTCACACAGACCAGTTTCGAGTTTGATCTTAGAGTACCAAGCTCCAGTGGCATGGATGACTCTTCACCACGATGAAAGCAACAAGAGTTGGAAAAGCAAAATGTTTAGAAAAGTCTCTTGTAAAGTGGAGAGAGCTAGAGAGGATGCCAGCCCCGACACCCTGAGGCTGACAATGAGAGGAAGTTCAGGAGACTGAAATATGGTGAAACATATAAGTTCTGCACAGAGCTGGGCCTGGTAAGAAATCTGCAAGAACAGCAAATCAGTCGAACACACAATTCAGTTCAAACAGGAAAGATCTGCTGTGGTTTTTTAGAAACGTCGCTTTCAACCACCAAGCCCTTGACAACTCCATAGAGAGGAGCCCTCATGGTTGCTTATCCAGTAAAGAGGGAACAAGGTGACATTCAACCAGAAAGTCCCATGTCAGCGACACTTGAAAGATAACACCTTCAACACAATGAGCAACCCAGACCTGAAGAAGCCAAAATCCTGATATTCTTACACCATTAAAAACTTCACGAAAATTAAACACAGTTGGAAAGGGAATAAGTGAGCAAGCAAGGATCAGAAAAAAGGAGTTTGCACTTGGGATATCCAATTATCCCCCATCCCACCCCAGATCCTCTCCCTCTGGCTTTTCAGGCGCTTCTGTATTCTTTACCCATCACCCAGAAAGTGGAACTAAGGGGAGGCAGATGTTTGAGGAGAAAGGAGTGGGGGAAGGGCAAAACACCCCAGAAACGAAAGCAAAGCTCATCAGAAGAAAACGGTGCATAATTAGTAGGTCCCAAGGTTCAGAAATCATAAGGGAAGGGTTGGGAGCTCCAGTTTTTCAGAAGACAGCAGGATCTCTCAGGACACAGAGTCTTGGAAGATCTTGAGGTCCTTAGTGAAAGGTCTGGGTTCCCGCTACTCCAAATGTGAATTTTTTGTTCATTGTCCCTCACTTCACTGCTGTGAAATGACTTCAAGTATCAGGATTTAATACACTACAAGAGTTAGAGGATTCCATGGGTAAGTGCACACGGAGAAATAAATACACAGCAGAGATCTCAAAAAACGAAAGTCCGAACTCCGAGCCAGGGCTCAGCGAGGAAATCGCAGTACTGCCACCAGGGGGCACCAGAGATCACGTCCAGTGTGAGGGCCCTAACGGCCTCGCGGGCCTGGAAGGGTGGAAGGATTTGGGGAGGTGTCTGACACCTACCTACACCAGGCGCACTCCTGATCACCCACCCCTCACCACTAGGCCCAATTTCTCAGCACAGGTCATTCTCTCTCTGGGCAGTTCTCTTATTGTTACTAGTGAGAAACCTTCTGTTCTGCCAAGAGGGATAGATTGACGTCTTGGAAAGACCCCAATGCAAGTGGGTAAGGGATGCACGTTCAGCCTTCGGGGTTTACAGAAAGAGCCCCCACGCACGGCCACCCCACGAACTGGGCACATATACACGTGCCAGCGCTTCCGCAGGGTCCTAGGGCACGCGATTTGCCAGACCCGCTAGTTCCCCCTCCCTAGGCCCGCACAAAGAAGGGGGCGGGGAGGGTGGGAACGAAAGACCCGGCCGGGAAAGGGCCTTTAACCACTTCTCTGCGGTTGCCTCTGACTCACTAATCTGCCCAGTAATGAAGCAGGGCCGGGCCTGCATCCCACGCGTTGGGGCAGAGGCGGGGGTCCTTGGTCTCGACCTCTAGCATCCATCATCCGCCCTGCCCTCCATTAACGACCCAGCAAGATGCAGGAGCCATTTAACAGCCCCCTCCCAGCTCTCCCCGGAGTTTGATGTAATTTAAACCCGGACCTGGTGCTCGTGTGGGCTTCCGACTCCCGCGCGCCGCCGTTTAACGTGGCAAACACTTCAGTCAATTATCCCCCTCGCGGAGCTTCTATTTAAAGAGACATTGTCAGGTTCTTAAGCCTCAGATCAGACCTGCTGCTTTCTGCTTCATATACAAAGACTCAAAACACGAGTTCTTTGAGGATTGGAAGAAATACAATTAAGCAAAGCCTTCGCAACGGTTCCACCCTGCAGGAGCACCCACGTGCGGGATGGAGGAGCTGGGAGGCAGTTGGGGTGGGGGAAGTGCTAAGTCCTTTCCATTTCATGCCTCTGAGAGTGAGAGGAAGAAAGGGTGGGCCAGGAGGGGTGAGACCTTAAAGGTGGAACTCAAATACAACTGAGCCCTGGAGTGGGCTGAGTAGGGGCTGGGGTGGGACAATGACCACACATTGTCAATGAAGTTGAATCATGATGGGCCTGGGGCAGAGGTCAAAGGAGCTGGAATTACCAGAATCTGGTCAATGGACAACTGACATTCAACACAGGGGTCTCTGCCACATCCAAAATATGCAATCATTGTCTTGAGGCAGGAGTTTATGCCCAGAAAAACTTAACCTCGATTCCTTCCTAATCAGCCCTTCTGTCCAGAAAGGATCTGAGGCCCATCTCCGTGCTCCCTTTCTCCAACACTTAAGGGAAAGGGAGACTTAGGTCATGTGTGGCATTATTGTCAGCATCACTGGGAGGGAAGTGGGGATAGGTTCTTGTTCTGCAGGTCACTCTTCTGCCTGCCTGGCTGCCTGGGTGTTGGAACCCCCTCCCCCAAAAGAGACCTGACAGGAGCCAGCCCCGACTGGGGACTGAGCCTTAGGCAGAGGAAAGGGAGACCATGTTCTTGGCTAGAAGGCTGTATGTAGTCCATGGAACCAGGTCTTCTAATCCTCCCCTTCCAGGATAAAAAAAGCAGGCTGTGGGGAAGGTGAGAGACTTAGGTAGGAAACACCAAAAATTCCAGCAAGCACAAAAAATAAATAATAGGGGTCTCTTTCAGAGACAGGACAACTCGCCTCAGCAGTGGGGACAGGTTCTGGGATCACAGCGGAGAGGGAAAGTGCCAGGAAAGTGAGGGACCCGGAAGAAAGAGAGAAATCCCAGTGGAGCAGAGACAGGAAGGTGCAGGGAACAGGGCTCATTCTGGACACTATTTACCGCTGAGCGTGCAGCACCACGGCCTCCGTGTCTGCTTGCCACGGCTGGGGCCCAGGCACCGAGTGAGGCAGAGCGTTGGCCTCTAACTCCAGGCTGCTCTCGGGCCCTGGCGCCTCTCCGACCAAGCTGGGGATGTCTGGGGCTGTGGAGCGTCGGCGCAAACCCAAGCGGCCAGAGCTCAGGCCGCCCTCGGGGTGGGGGCTAAGGCCGATGGAGGCTTGCACTAAGGTTGGGGGCGATCCTTCCAGCACCTCATGAGAACGCCACCGCCCGGTCCCCGAAGACTGGGGTGAGTGTGGTCGGGCCATCAGGGCTCCCGCCCGCAGTCGAGCCGCTTCCTCTTCGGTCACTGCACCCAGAGCCAGACTCATGCTCCGGCCCAGCTCCGGCCGCTCGCTGCCCTGTGCCCGGTGCCGGCCCAAGCTCTTGCCCCCTGAGCCAGCCTCGCTGCCATGACCATGGCCTCCGGCAGCTCGCGCAAAACGTGCTAGGAGAGGCCGCGGTAGGCGGCGGGGGCTGGGTCGTCGGCGCTCCGGGCTGGGCGCAGGAGCTGGACGACCAGGTGGGCTGTCGGAGTTGGAGCCCCGGGCCGCAGCGGCGGCTGCTGCGCGGCCCCAGGGCCCAGTGAGGGCCTGCACGCAGGTTCCGTGGCCGCGGGCGGCGGCCAGCTGCAGAGCCGTAAGGCCCGCGCGGTTGGTGCGGTCGAGGCGCAAGCCGAGGCGGCGGAAAGAACGCACCAGGAACTCGAGCACCGCCCCATGACCGCACGCCGCCGCCCACATCACTGGACTGTTGCCGGAGGAGTCGGCTGCCTCGGGGTCACCGCTGAACTGCACCAGCAGCTGCACCGCGTCCAGGTGGCCGCGCTCGCACGCCAGGCTGAGTGCCGTGCGGCCGCGCTCGTCGCGAAGGTTCACGGCTGCACCCTGCTCCAGCAGTAGTCGCACGAAGCGCGCGCGCAGTGCGGGGTCCGGCAGCCCCACCGCCACCATGAGCGGCGTGCGGCCCTGCTCCGCGCGGCAGTCGATGATACTGCGGTCCAGCGCATCAAGCACGAAGCGGGCCAGATGCACTTTGCCAGCCTGCATGGCCTCCAGGAATGTGCGCGTACCCGCTCGGGGGCACAGGTCCTTGGGCTTGAGCATGACCCCGGCTGCCGCGCCTAGGCGGCCCGGCAGCTCCGCACGGGGGCGCCCCTGTTCCAGTGCCCCACCGAGCTCTGGACCCCTCCGGTGCTCTGGCGTGGCTTTCTCCGCGTTGGGCGGCCGCAGCCGAGGGTCCTGAGCTTCCCACTCTTGTACCCCGGCGGCTCCCGCTGCCCTGCCGCTCCTGGGCCGCACGCCTGGCGTCTCGCTGCTCCTTTCCTGGGCTTTCCGCCTGCCTGGAGGTGTAGGTTGCTCTCTATTCCGCGCTCCGCGTCTGGCCCGCCACGAGACGACGGGAGCCGAAGCCTGGCCCCCTCCTGACTCTCCCGCTGCTTTCCCCGTGTCCAGCGCCCCTCAGTCCCTCGTAACCTGGAGCCTCGCCACTCACCCGCACCCGGGGCAGCCCCCGCTCCCCTGCTGAGACGGTGGCACCCGCCTTGCGAGCCTGCCTCCAGCCCTGGCGGGGCGCGCCGCTCCTCAAGCTGCTGGCGCCGCTCCTCCGCCTCCTCCCCTCTCGCGGGGGCCGGGCCACGCCGGGGCGCTTGCTCCTTACTTGAGGGGCTCAGCGGCGCGGGAGCCGCCGCCCGCCTGGATACCCGGCTTTATAGCCTCAGGGGTCTCCATGGCAATGGCTGCCCTGGAAGCAGGTTAAGCCGTCAAGGTAGAAACGGACCGGGCGGGGAAGACCGCCCCTGACCCCCTACTCCTTCGTGGGCCTCGATGTTGGGGAGCGGCTCCTCCTCTGCGCTCCCCTGGGGTTGCTGCGGCAGTTGCGGGGCGGGGGCAGGGGTTCCTCGCTGCGGACCACATGCACCCGACCTCGCCAATCCCAAAGTCACAGTCTTCTCTCCTCGCCCTCCGCCCCCATCGTAGTCGGGGTCCTAGGCTCTTTAGGAACTGACAGGACCTCGGGTCCGTCGGGGAAGACCGAGGGCTATCCCCAGCCGTCCGGATGGAAGGAAATGGGATCCCATGAGGGTGGAAACTGGACCGTAAATTAGCTAAGGGTAGCGGCGAAAGGCAGGCTGGGAGTAATTGGGGGGAGGGGGGTACCTGCGCTGCGCGCGGGGTGGGGGCTCGCAGTCTGACTGGGAACTGCCACTCGAAGTGTAGCGAAGCAGGCACTCACACACAGTTGTTCCTCCGCACAGGCTCACTCGGAGCGGGGGTGGGGAAGAGTGCGCTCTCCAATCTCAGACGTCTCCAACCCCGACAACACGCTCGCCTGCCAGCTCCCAGTGGCTGACGAGCAGGAGGAGCAGACACGCGGCGGCCGGCGGCGGCTGGAATGGGCGCCTTAGGATCCCGGAGTGCTGCCGCCGTGTTAGCAACTCCCCGGCGCCGTCTCCCCGCTGCTTCAGAACCGACAGCCACCGGGAAAGAGCAAAGAACGAGGGACACACGCTAGGCTCCCCCCAGTCTCCATCTTACTCTTGAGCACAAAACTAACCCGAGACCACACGTCTCTGACCTTGACCACTAGCTGACCCCTTAGGAGAGGAAGGAGAAGAAGGGAGCTAGAGTCGATAGGGTGTGCGGAAACCACCGCATCCAGTCTTCCTCTGGCCGGACTGCTCGGGCCTGGGGCGGGGGGAGGGGGCTCAGGCTTCGGGTGAGGGGGATTAGGGCGCCTCAGAACAGAAGGGAGGTGGGAGGGTGTGTAGGGTTTGAATGATATTTGTAAAGTAAGAACCGAGTCAGGTATCAACTACAGTATTTACTGAGACTTTTCGTGAGCTAGGTATTATCTTCCCAGCTGTGGGAAATACAGAAGCAGAAGTACAATTGTGGATGGAAAAGACCTCCCCTCTCAAGTGGGAATTCAGGACCAGGACATAAAAAGTGGGGATTATCACCTGAGAACCTAATACATCTGTTAAATACAAACCAAGACAGTCCTTAGAGAAAAAGGTGGAGTTGTGGGGAGTGGAGGGCTCTGGGTGTTCCAAGGATAGGGCTTCTGAGGTGGTCTTCTACAATGTGTGGGATGCGATCTGGCTGCTGAGAAACAAGGAGGACACTTCAGACAGCTTAAGGAGGCAAGAGGATGGATGGAGGAAAAATACCTTTAAGGGACAGCGTTGAGGGCTGCTTTAAGGGGTCCTTTCCTATGAAAGACAGGAAATTAAGGGAAGAATGAAAGTGACAAGAAGCATTGCAGCAGGAGCTGCCTGGAGAAAGGCATGGGGCAAAGAGAGGATTTTCCTCTAGGAAGAAGACCATGGCTGAGTAGCAAAGTGGGCGCATCGCCCTGAACCCTGAACTTTTGCCTCTCTCCAGCTCCCAGGCTCCAGGGATGGCCACCTGCATGGGGCCCAACTATGGAGCAAGATGATGCCCCTCTGTTCTGAGGGATCATGTGATGTATACTCATGCACATTGTGAAGCCTCTCTTTTTCTCTTTGCGTTTTTCAACCCTAACCCTCTGCTCAGGGCTCTGCCAATTTCACATGGTGTCACAGAAAGGGTACAGTATTTGACATCAGAGTTAAGTCCCAGCTTGAAAGCATTTACTAGCAGTGTGACTCCAGGCCCGCATATTCCCACCTGCAAAATGAAGCAGTAATACTACCCTGCCTGCTTCACTCAGGATCGCACTAGAGTGTCAGGGAAAGAACTGCACAGTTATTCAGCCTGCAGAAAACCCAATCTGGCCCCTAGACCTGGGGTCCCCTCTTGCATGTTGCCCAGGAGTGGGTATAGACTCTCTACCTCATCTACAGCCCAGTAAGGACTCAGGAATGCTCTCCCTTTTTACTCAGCTGAAGAAAGACTTTTCTTCCCTTCATGACTCAATTCCCTTTTCTCCAGCATGAGAAAAATTGCTTTGTTTCCTTCTTTCTCTGTTTACAAGGTCAAGGGAGAGGGTACCCCTGAAACCTGTGTGACAGGCCATCCCACAGCCAGACAATGACACCCCCCAGGTGGAGGAGAGAAGCAGCAGGAACTCTCATTGGACACTTCCTCGGTCCTAAAGAGCCATGCCTCCTCCCCGCTGAGCCTCCTTGAGATAACTCTGCCTCACTTATGTCCCTGTTCCCTGTGGAGGGTGGAAACAGTTCCAGAGAAGAAGAGATGCTGGGGCAGGTCCCTTTCAGGGCCTTGTTCTGGTCTGTCAGAGAGCCCTGTGCTGGATGCTCTTTGAAAGGAGGAGCTGGCTCCATTTGCCCCAGCTGGCCTTGCCAATCCAGCCAGGCCTGTGGTGGTGGGATTGTGGGGAGGGGGTGCTAGGTCTCAGGCCCTGAAGCCTTTGCTCTGAGTTCCCTATGGCCTCAGTATGTTCTGAACAGAAAAGAAATAGCAAAGCTGAAAAAAAGCTCAGACTTTGCTGCAGAGCACAGAGGCACCAACAGCCATAATTAGAAGCTGTCGCTTAGGGAGCTGGAGGCTGACAAGAGATAGAGCCTAGGCAGGCAGGGGGCAGAAAGGCACTCCACTCTCCTCCCCTCCCACCCGCTGAGCCTCTCCCACTGTGGGCCCCAGGCTGGCAAAAGGGCTTCCTCCCAGAGGCGCCTCAGGTCTGCAGTCTGTCACTCTGTCTGCTGCTGCCCCCCTACAGTCCCCCTTCTTTCCTCAAGTGTCACCAACCCCCTCACCCTGTCACGTTGCACCAGCTCAGCTGGGTTGGGCCTGGCGGCACGTGGCTGGGAGATCCAGAGAGCTAGGGGAGGGGGGTTGCCAAGGGGAGGTGCAGGGGGTGGGTGAGTCAGCAGGGGACTCTGACATCTGAATCAGCAGTGAGATTGGGAAGGGGGTAGGGGACCCTTCTCTTATGCAAAACGTAAAACTGAGGCATAACTAGTGGACAGGAAACTTGCCCCAGCCCCATAGATATGCCACGCAGATGGAACCCA